AATATGCACTTAGAGGTCATAGGAATAGAAAAACCATCAAAATGAATCCTGTATGTAGAGGTGTCAAGATTTTCATTTTATTTAGCAATTTAGCTATTTGTGATCTAATTCCAGTTAATCATTGAATTCCGTGTGTAATTTTCCATGATCAAATGAAATTCGACAAAAGAAACAATAAAATACAGAGTAATGATGATGAAGGAAATTATTAAAAAAGATGAATGCAAATCGAATATAAACTACTTCAGTAGATGATTACAGAAGTTGCAGAACATTTATAAGTTACAGAAGTTACAGAAAATTTATTTCGCAAACATAAGTCTGAGGAATTATTCTATCAATAGTACATTCTAACCAACGTGCTTAATTTTCTGCTTAAGTTCGCCCGTTAAAAAAAAAAAAAAAAAAAAAAAAAAAGAGAGAGAGAGAGAGAGAGACTAGAATTAATTTTTGTGCAAGCAAGATGGTAGTTTGGCTACAAATGAACCTGTAAAATTAGCTTGTAAATAAATTTTCCGGTAAATAATTCAGAATATGATACTAAATAAGTCTATTCACACATTATTTTGTATAACCGTATGGTAGCTTAGAGATATATTTAACTAAAGAAAAGTGTAAATTTTCTTATTTTTTACAACAATAATGTACTAGAGACAAGTGCTTGAGATAGACTACGTGATGAATCTGAGGTCCGCACTAGCCTTCAATCTTAATCTTCGCGTAATATACAAAAAATAATGGAATACATACCGTAGCAATAAATACAAAATCTTGTATACTTTTTATGTAAATTGAAAATTTTATTTTGTGTTTAAACGGGAATAAGTTATGCGAAAGTTCTTATTCCAGTTGCCTGCAATTCACGATGACATTTCCGCTTAAACACAAAAAATAGAAACTCGAGTAACTTAAAATATACAGGTTTGCTCATTTTATATTATCTCTTTATTTTTTCTGTGCTGGCTGTTCAAGGTTTTTGAATTAAACGTAATAAATTAGAACGTAATTAGAACGAGCGTAAATTAGAACGAGAATAAGAACCACATTATAAAATCGTACATTTTTAAATTTTTGTTAAGTAACAAATACGCAAAACCTTTAATATTTCAAGTTACTATGAATCATTCAACATTGCAAAAATGGGTATCACAATAATATGTGAACAGAAAAATTATGTGCATGTATGTTACTCGATCATGCAAACACCATCAGACGGATCAATTCGAAATTTTGCATTTACTTATGAAGTGGATCATAATGCATTTTGAATTTAAATCCTACTCCCAAAGAAGGATCAAAAAGCTGTACAAGCAGTTCTACTAGAAACACCTATAATTTTTTTATTATGACATGAAATGCTACATGCTCCTCACATTTCTTGAAACAGTGAGGGTAATATTAAACATGAGACCTGCGAACAGCATTTAAATAACAACAGAATGCAGGCAACAAAGTATTAGATATATATTTTAAATTATTCTGTTATCTATTACCTACAAGAGCTTGAGAGACATATGGCAACGGTTTGAAACCAGAAAAATGAACAAATATTTCCAGATTTAAATGATGGTTGATCAGCAGTAGCAAAAACTATAAAGAATTATAAGTATACTTTGTTTCTGTTTCATGACCTTACTTCATTGGCGCTACGGTAGCTATACCAGATCAGCTGCATATTTAAAAATCAGTTATAATTATTTTAATACCTATCTTCTGAACTTAAATTTAGAGTGGCAAACATAAATTATTCTCTCAGCTCATTTAATGTCAAATGAATAAAATAGCAGAAGGGGATTATTTTTCTAGTTTCCTTATAAAAAGATTGGTTTCCCTGATGTGTAATGTAACTATGAACTAGAATTTAAGTTAAATGTGTTCAACGGCCTTTAAAAAGCAAAGGATTGTCGTAAATTTAATATAATTAATTTATGATACATTGTTTTGCAAGAATCTTACAATCTTAACTTTGAAAACGCATCTTCTTCATGAACCTCAGAATAGCCTTACCTGTTATGTTAATCGCTCACATAGACCCCATACATTGCATATATTTTTAGAGTTTGTAGTATATAAAGTCAAACCTTACTCCTGAATTGATCGAAACAGTATTCTGTCAGTTGACAATAAATTACTCATTCATAAATCCATTCTGCGTTCCATTCATTGTTATGCCTGGTCCTATCTAGACCTATTCTTGTAAGACCAACCACAAAGCATAGCAAACGGAGAATAACTGTGTTACTGATTCAGACATGGGGCGTTCCAAATAATAAAATCCATGTAGAATTTAATATTCTACATGGATAATTTATTTGGAATTTTGTGCATGTTATATTAGTAACTCTGTTTATGCTAAAAGACCCAAGGCTAAACACTTCCACATGTAATCTTTTCATTGTATAATTAATTATAATTATTATTGTTCATTGCTATAATTAATTATAATTATATTACTTGACTGGCATCATTAGATCCCACTCACTGTTTATTAATCTTTGTTATGATCACAGCTTTTTTACTCTTTATGCAAGCGACTGAAAAACTTTCTTAGACATTTAGAATTAAGGACCATTGTGATACTAGTTATTGTTACAGGAAATGATTCGCAATCGTAAATTGTTGTTGTGATTAATCTCGCTTGTCTAATATCACAGCAAGCCTAGGAAATTCATTGTGGCAAGGAGGCAAGATTGTGGACATTCGGCTCGTCGCATACTTTGAGTGCCCCCATGCTGCGCCATCGTAAATTGTTAGACAGGGATAGTGCTTCCTGCACTGGTACCTCTGATGATACACCATTTCATACGTGATAAACAAGTGATAGTTAAAGTTAAAAACTGCCAATTATACTCTTGCTCAAAAAATTAAGAAGCAACAAATGTTAAAAGAAAAGGTATCGCCGAATGCAAATAGACAAAATTATCATAAAACTCAAACCCGCAGTCACATCTCTGTAATCTGAGATGGCCAAAGCGGAAAGCATGAGCCAAAAAGACACCATATGCACGATGAAATGAGTTGAAGGACTGTCGGGATGTTGCAAGCTGGTGTAAGACAATCCGCTGCTGGGAGAGAGCTGAATGTGCATAGTAATGTCATCAATGAGATACATTCCGGTGACGTCGGAGGTCACGGGATGTAAGGACTGCTAATGTAAACAAACAAGCTTGCGCTGTTGTAGCTGTGTTGAAAAATCGGAAACTTTGTTTATTTTTAATTAGTTATGAAATTTGCATTTCAGTTTTAAGTATTATTTCAAACGTTAATTAACTGTTCATTCATTTGGTTAGTATAATTTTTGCCACTCTTATATGTTATTGTTATCTTCATGATACTCTCTTGTTCGCTGCTTTACCATGTTCTGATTGTTAATATTTATTTATGAATTCTTTCCTTGATCTGATAATTCATTTATCATTTCCAACCCCCACTACCAGAATTTGCTCTGAACATTTTGAAGAAGAATGTTTCACATACCAGCCATTCACGAACAGGAGGTCATTAAAGGCAGATGCTGTGCCAACGAAATTTATTTTTATTTCGACTAAAGGAACCACTCGTAAGCGAACTAGTTATGTATTTGGTGAACCATCACAGGAAAGTTCAAGAGAAAAGAGGTATTTATCTACTAGTTTTATCAGAAATACATAGAGCATTTGTATGTGAAAACTAAAGATTGTATTTTTTTTTTTTTTTTTTTTTTTTAATTTTCTACACTTTTGGTTTTAGAAAAAGATAAAAGCATAATTGGTGTGCTATGAAATTTAATTACTTTCTTCCTGTTTCAATGTTTTTTGCAGCTGATAGTTTTCAAAATGAAAATTGCGACTAAAGAGATCAAAATCTCTGTAGAAAACGTTCGTGTGGACGCCGGAGCATTACCCGCCAAACTATGTGGCGTCGACTGCATGAAAATGGACTGTTCTCCCAGTGACCTGTGGTTTGTATTCCTTTGTCCCCATCGCATGTCACAGCGTTATTGAACTGAGCCCGTAACTATCGCAGTTGGGCACCAGAACAGTGAGGCCGCATACTCTTTACGGATGAATTTCTATTTAACACCCAGAATGATTCTGAAAAGGCAATGGTATGGCAAGAGCCAGGGAAACGCTATCGGGCGACAAAAATCATCGAAAGAGTCTATTACGAAGGAGGAGGCTTACTTCAGTGGAATGGGATAGCAACGAACGGCCACAGCGACCACAGCGAATCTTTTCTCCTCTCCATGATATTTTCTTCTTTAAAATACAAATGCACATCCCTGCATACTTTACCAGTATTTATCAACATTTTACCATTTGTTTCAAAAATGTTTACAACATATAGTAATGAGGATTAAGGATATATTCTTAAGTGATATTACATATTTGCTTGACCACGTCTAAAACTAAACTTGAAATAAATTGAATTTTCAGAACTAATTAAGTTATAAATACCAATTTGAAATAAATCTACTTCTGTTAAGTAGTTTTTTTATGATTATTCAGAGTTAAGCGTAACTTTATTTTGTAAAATCTGGTCTTATCCATAGATATTGTATTACTATATCTACGGTCTTGTTCCGATGCTATGAAGTCAGCCTTTAACTTGATGAAACTTGATGAAAAAGTGGCAACAGACCCACTTAGTAGTCTGCTAAATGGAGTTGGCACGTAAACAAGAAGAGTGTTTTTTTTTTTTTTTTTTTTTCGGGAGAGACTTCTACGCTTGCTTTTTGCAGCTGCTGTATGTTTAACCATTAAGATCATGTAAGCCAAAAATACAAATGAGCAAGCACAGGTAGTCGAATGAGAATCCGTCTGGCATTAGCCAGGCGCTGGAGAAATGCCTAGTCTATTATGAAAATAAAAGCGGCCGAGTTTATTAATATCTGCAGGTAGCTTGTATATGTTGTGTCAAAATTGATCTGATACTTAAACATAATAAATGTATATATTTTTCTGCCTTCTAGAAACGTTGTGTACGTTTTTAATCTCCTATAATGCATAATTAAATTGCAGAGCCATGGAAAACAGCACTCCTCCTGCACAATTTGTTAGTTTTAATTCAAATGCGATAACTGAAGATATTCGAAGAATAGCAGAAATTGAATTAAATGAGAAGGACAGTGCAATTACATCTGCTTTGGAGACAGTTAAGGAATTGCTTAAACGTAAGTAATATTTCGAATTTAAAAGATTGCTGGTTAAAATAAAACTTGCCAGATGATGTTCAAATGTAAAAGAGGTAATGTCGTAATTTTCATCTGGTATTTTATTTCATTAGAGAATTTTTATTCAACTGTAAATCCGAGAAGGAAAGTTTGATTTTTTTTAGCTTTGTAACAAGCATTGAAAAAATTTAGAGATATTCATGTTTAAGGAATGTTGCATATATTTCTTTAAGGACGAAATATTTTTTTTTAAATTTTATATTGAAATAATTATATTTAAATAATGTATTTCAAGTCAAATCACTGACAGCGATATGATTTTCTCACTTATATCATCTGTGCCGCAGGAAAATCTAGAATGTTAAAAATCAACAATAAATTTATGGTCAATATAGTATTTTAAATTATTAAATACTATATAGTATTTTAATGTTAAACATTAAAATACTATGTTGGCAGCACATGTACAGTGTATTACCATGTAATCATTTTAATTTTGTGTAAAATAACTTTATAATTTTATTTTTATTTTCAAGAAATAAGCTTAGAATTCTCAGGTTTTGTGAAGAGAGCTATGATTTATTGTGTTTATTATAATGAATTTGTCATTATGGAAATAAATTTTGAATGATTTTTTTCATTATCAAAATGTCATTTTAAGTGCAATTATACAGTGAAGCTGCACATGCAATAAAGGCCAGATTCTTCATGGAACTGTGGACACTCATCTCAGGTTTCATCATATTTTCATCTTTTTTTTCAATCTATGCTATTTTCTTTCTTTTATTGCATAAATTAATTTTACTAAGCAGAAAGAGGTACAAGAGTACTTCTGAAGAAAAGGCTTTCATTGCCTAGTAATATAAAAATTAAATTTGGTATTTTTAGTTTCTTTGTTCTTGAACCTGTACCTTACCCATACCTACATTTCTTTTCATTCATTCTTGGTTGTATTATTTGTACTATTTTTTATTATTAATGTGTTATTATAGCTTTTCTGTTCTTAAAATTTTTATTTATCACAATAAATGCCCAAAATAAAAGGCTAGTGATACTGACAGTGGTCCTACGGATTTGTATTACCGTTAAAAGATAAATGATTCTAATTACTACCACCCTTTGAAGCAGTATATTATGCAGTGCAGTACAAGAACTGAATTTCTTCATTTCTGATCATCTTTTTTTCAGATTGAATTACAATGTCAAAACTTTTGTAAGTATAAGAGTATACTCTAATCACATATTACTATGTTTAATAGTATAATATATAATGTAGTATAATGTAAAGGATACTTTATTATTTATCCTGTTTCATTTAGCTTCTGCTATTATTTGTAGTAAGTCTTTGGAACATAATTACCTGAAAGTATAAGGATGCTACTATATTTTCAAATCTGTGGAATTTTTTAGATCTGAAGAGATTGATAAAAATTTAAAGTAGCAAACTGTTTCATGTGGTTTTGATACTGAAATTTTTCTTAAAAACATTTATTAGTTTTGTGAAGGTTTTTCAACTCCAGAAAAGGCCATGTAATAACGACTGCAAATTATAGCTGAGAGGAAAAGGACAAAAATAATCAGTGCTGTATTTTAACATAATTTGGTTAATCTTCGGATTATGGTAACTTAACAATTTTTGGCGAAAATTTGGCAACCAACCCTGCTACAGCAACCTGCTATTTTTTGGGGGGGGGATGCCATTTTGTTTTCACGAAGTAAAGGCAAGTTTTTTTTTTTCCTCACCTTTTTTTCTTACAATCTGCTACCCGAATTATGCTTATGCTAGAACTTTTATGGAACAAAAGTGCTTAATCATGATGAAGATTAGGTGCAAAATTGGGAGAAAGTGCAGAATCGCCCACTGCTTACGGCGTTTTTAAGAATTGCACATACACGGTATCCAAGTACATGTCGACCTATTTTCATTTAAGAAAACATCCCAGAATTGCACAAAAATGGCATTGTGCACACTCTTGACTTTATCCATGTATACTGCTAAAGTCCTAGCTAGCAAACTTTATCGCCTTACCAAAATGTCGCCAAACTACCTGTTACCATATTCCAAAGATTAGCCCATAATTTTTTTTTCATTAAATTAAAAATTTTTGAAATTATGAATAAATTTAAATTTGAATCAAATTGACTTATTTTATTGCAGTACAAAGTATTTCAAGCATTTGTAGCCCAGAAGTGATCAAAACCACTAAACACTGGTAGTGGGTTTATATCCCAGCAAGCAGGCTGTCTGCAAGGTCATTTTCATAGTTTTTCCCATTATAATATGAATATTAATGAGTTTCATTTAAAAAGTTCTCCATCAATGGCATGCCATAGTGTCCACCTAAGGTATGAAGAAAAATTGTAATCCTTTCTAAAATGATCACCACAATTCTAGATGATTTTGGACCTCAGTGGATATGGTTTAGAGAAGTGACATTCAATACCATTGTTTATTTGTGATCTCAAAAGTTATGGTCCCTCTCATAACTGGTTGCCTTGACAGGATATACTGTATTTTAAATATAAAAACTAATGAGTGCACTAATGCTTAATATAACCTAAATTTTTTTAAAGCTAAGAAGAAAGGAAAATCGAAATCATCTTGCCATAATACATACATTTTTAATCTGATTGTTGTTATAAAAAGTTGATGATAAATTAAAGGCATTATTTCCTCACAAAGATCATAAGTCCAGCAAAACAGATTATTTTTCAGTTTCCATATAGTTAGTCATCTTGATATTGTATAATATTCCACTTTTGAAATGGCAGGCTTGTAATGTTTCATGGTTATAAGAATGACAACATAAAAGGTAGATTTAGGGTGGGCACTAGACATTTTGCTGACCAATGATATCTCAGTGATTCACAAATTCTGCCTTTGTAAGTCAGAGCTTAAATTTCAGCGGAGCTTGGTTTTCTGAGGTAAATCATAATTTTAGCCAGAGCACACCAGTAAGTGAAACACAGTTTAAGTCAACAAATTTTATTTGGAAAATCAATATGCTTTAAAAATTTATTATAACTTATGAATGCATGCCTTCTTTCTCCATCACTTTGGCAGAGGTTAAGACTGTCAAAACAAACAAAGGACGAAAATTGTCACTTGTGCACTGTTCTTACATTGTTCGTTTGTTCTCATACTGTTATCAGATAAGATTTGGGAGAAATATTTTTGCCCAGTTGCATTCTGCTTGACAGCTAGGATTATGTTGGAATGAAAATGTTGGATTCTTCTCTCTCTATTTTACTTTTCAAATTGTTCCCACCAAATATTATCGCCTGTTATATTTAAAGAAATTAAATAATGAAGAATAATAAATGTATGTATTTTTCTCGCATTGTGATAAAACAACTGTACCTAGAGCCATCAAATTTTGAATAATGTAATCCTCCTGTAAACTTAAATTTGGAATTTTTTTATTATCTATTTCATATTTTGTAAAACTTTAATGAATTTTTGATTAGCAAACTCAAGGATTTCAAAGCGAGCTGTGACAACGTTGTAAAAAAAAAAAAAGAAACATTTGGTTGATCTTTACAATATGGTAACTGGTAGTTTGGCGACATTTTGGAGGCGATAAAGGTTACTACCTGGCACTTTGGTAATAATGTGAGCAGTACTCAGTTCCGATTACGCATTATTTTGTGTGAGGGAAATGAGAGATCATGGGATATGTCATCTGATATTAATGGACGAATTACGGTTCTTGAATCGGAAAAGGGGGGAAATCGGGAACAAATCTGGAAATTTTGTATTTGGTTTATTCTGTGTTGTGTGAAACAGTGTTCGTGAATTTTTAGATCCCATGGCCGTAACTAAAGAAAAGTTTATCGGACACGTAATCAAGATTCTGAAGAAGATTAGGTAAGTTAGTATTTTTAATTATTTGAGGATATTATTTTTATGCATTGTTCTAAATGTAAGGTGGAAAGGAATTTTGTATTATTGGGAAAATTGTTATTAGCAATGATTTAGTTTAAAGTAATTAGGATTGTAAGGTAATTTTTATTAATTTAATGTATGTGCTTATTTATATTTTAAGTAGTGTTTTTGAATTTAATTATATTTTAATGAAATGATAGTTATTTTGTGAATTTTATGTTTGTAGGAATTTGGTATACATTTAAGTTGAAATAAACGTGCATGGAAATAATTTAAATATTTGATATTAAGTATTTGTAATGCTTGCGGTATGAATTCGTTGGTGACGTGTATAATGTAATAGATGATTTAGAGGTAAAAGTTTTTGGATATTTTATTTATTTTATATGTGGAAATGTTCATATTTGTAAAGGGTAAATACTTTTTCGCGATCAGGTAATTTCATATATGTTCTTTTTACCGGGTTTAAAGATTGAGAAAATTGTCATGTATTTTCGTGAAATTTTTCTAATTTATGAGAAAAAAGCAGTGTACATGGATATAGTGAAGAGTGTGCGCAATGCCATTTTTGTGCAATTCTGGGATTTTTTTTAAGTAAAAATAAGTCGCCGTGTACATGGTTTATGTGTATGTGTTATTTTGAAAAACGCGTAAGGAGTATGGTATTGTGCACTTTTTCCCAATTTTGCAGTGAACATTTGTCATGATTAAGCAGTTTTGTTTGATAAAATTTCTAGCATAAGTGTAATTCGGCTACTAGATTGTTGGAAGAAGTGTTCAGTAGATAAAAAAAAAAGAAACATGTCTTTACTTCGTGAAGACAAAATGGCGGCGGGGAAAAAAAAATAGAGGGTTGCTGTAGGAGAGTTGGTCGCCAAATTTTCGCCAAAAAAACGCCAAGTTACCATAATGTAAAGATCAACCAAACATTTTTATCTCCAGCACACGAGACTGTGTATCAGAAATTCTGGAGGATGTACTCATTTTAAAATTATTTTTTGATATTGCTTTTGCGCTAAATTTTATAGTTTAAGTGTGAAGAACATGATATTTAATAAGTAAAGGTAACACACTAAATGTTTAAAAAAAATGCCCCTTTGGGCATAATTTAAAA